AGCATATAATACACATATAAGAATCCAGTTCTGCTCTCTCTGTGTTGTAAATTCCTCAGTCTGTAGATACCCTATTCATGTGGAGGCTATGTGTACATTGCAGAGAAAAGTCGTAAAAAGACACAAATTGCAAAGCACAATTTGCGTATCTTTTTCTGCTTTTTTTTTTTTTCCAAAAGATGCTTTTCCACAATTTGCCCATCTACATGGGGCCAAATTTCGGAAAAAATTCCTCTTTCAGAACATGCCTTATTCCTCTCACTGAAAAGAATACAAGGATACCAAAAGAACACGTCTACTTTTTTGGAAACTGTTCCTAAAAAGTGGATGTGTTCCTTGGAGGTATCCCAGAAAAGCTCTGTAGTCTAGACATAGCCCGAGAGTCATTGCAACATTCACCTATATCTTTTATTGGACCATGCATAGGTGCGGATGCTGCTGTGATCCCCCAAGCATGTCAGAGCCTCTCAGGCCATGTCTACACTAGGAAATCATTTCGAAATAACTACATTTTACGTAATAACTCCCAATTTTACAACATCAAAATAGCATGTCACCACTATGGTGAAGCCTCAAAATTAGTCTGAGGCAGGCTCTGTTAATGTGGAATGCTACCTTGACTTAGAGCCCAGGAAGCTCTATGGAGTAATTAGTTCGAATTACTCTAGGGAGTAGTTATTTTGAAATAGAAGCACCGCAGAATCCATACTAATGCTATTTCAAAACAACTATTCTGAAATTCCCCAAGGAGAGTAAGAGTACATATTTTGAAATAAGCAGCCTGTTATTTCGAAACAGCAGTCTTGATAACGTGGATGCACCCCTTATAAATTTGACCTATGGGTGTTATATTGAAATAACGCCCTAGAGCAGACCAGGGCTCAGAGAAGTAGCCAGTCCTCACTAAGGATTTTCATGAAATAAGGATAGGGTCTTTTAGAGCAGTTCCTCCTCCCCCTCCCCTCTGCTCCCCTGACATGGTAGCAATGGTAACATCAACTACATATATTTGGGGTTTTGAAACAGAGCTGGAAAGGTCCTGCACAGCAGCAGAAGTACTGTCCATCAACATGATACAGAAATATTTTCTGATGGACCCAATGGGAGTATCTCCACTTTTGCAAGTCATTTGCTTGGAGTGCCATAGCAAAGACACAGCAACAGCAGGCAGGAAGGGAGAAGAAGACTAAGATAAAATAATGGTAAAAGGCCAAAATCTAATTAGCACAGTTTTTAGGTACATTTAAACCTGACTATTTTATTCAAGCCTAGGCAATTCCTCATAACACTGACTTCTGGAAACTGGTAAAAAAAGGGGGGGGGGAGAGCAATCATGCTTTAGCCCTGCTATTACTTTACATTGATGGTAGAAGGTTAGAATATGAATATAGTTTGAAAGATAGTTCCGTTTCTTTGATACATCAAAAAGCACTCTGCAGTAGACTTCTACTTTAGTAGGACACTTATAGTCAAAAAGCTAGTGTTTGAGTATCCTCCTAATGTCACATTACAATGACAGAAACTCTAGATACATCAATTTAATCTTAGTTCAAAAAATCCTTTAGTTCTGCTTTAGTGAAGTCAAATGGACTTTTATACTTTTTCAGCTTAAAATTGGACAACGAATAACTTTCATAGTAAAAAATGAAATGCAGAATATGGTTGAAAGGATAATCATATTCACTGTTAAAAATAAAGCACTTACTAGTTATTTAGCACTAAGGTTTCCTCTTAGGAAACTATATTAACAAGAATGAGATTACAAAATTTTAAAAATAGTTTCTCTCATTGGGTCTGTATCTCCTCTTACATGGGTATAAGAGCGTTGACGTCAGTGGAGTTATTCCTATTTACAAAATGAAAGTGAGAATTGGGACTGCTCTATTGATACTAAACTGGTTAGCCTCAGATAGGGCACCATAAAATTATGTAAATGAATTTTGAGTCATCTTTTAGGCTTTTAAAATAAATCTGTTTAATCTGTTGTATTTTTAAATGCATATGTGTTCTTATGTGGATTCAAAACACATAAATATATTTTATAGAAAATTGTTATCAGGTACTCTTTTCACCACACCATAAAAAAATCCAGTTGCACTGTTGAATCTTAAAATTTGGTAATCCAGAGCTATGAAGTTAAAAGGTTAAGAAAATAATGTATATACACAAATCTCATCACTAATAAAATGTCTGTCAAGGCTTGCTAGAGCTGTAAAATATCCCAAATTGGGATATAATCTAACTCAAGAATTAAATTATATACATTTAATTACCTGCCCTAAATATCAGATATTAGGTGGTTAGCCCTATCTGCATTATGTAACTTTTTTTTAGGTAGTATCTTAACAACATAAAAAGAAACAAGGTTTAAACTGTCCTACCTTCAGAGAACAGCATGTTCTCTAACACCCAGAGTTGCACTTTCAGACCGCCACTGCTCCATGTTTGTTGTGATTGGCTGGGAGCCTTTGGCCCAGTGAGCAAACTGCCTTTCCAGTTTCCTCTGCTTTGAATCTTTTGGGATCACATAACAATGGCAGTAATATCAAAAAAATAGCAATTAAAAAACCTGAATAGCCTTTCAGTTTTCCTTTCTTGTCATGACTGCAATAATGAAACTCTGTAGAGTATTGTGGAAGTAAACTATCCAACTCTTTGGTTTGCTTAAGAGGTAGTTTGTGGTCAAACAGATTTGTAAATTACTTGAGTTTAATTTCAAATAATAGGTGAAGAGAATTACTCTTGGGTTCAAGGGAATTAAAAACAATTCAATTAATGGGGCTGTCCCCATCTATATAGAACCAACTGGAGATTGCTTCTAGTGGGTATGTTACAGCTGCTCATGACAGTTTGGGGTGGTAAGTATTTATGCATAATATAGTCTGCCTGACTCTAGATCTTTGGTGACAAAAGCCAAAGCATCTGAAGTGCTTTCTAGAGGTTTTTTCTGTGCATTTTTCTTACTCTCTGATAATCACTCAAGTTTTTAGAGTTATAATTATTTCCTCTGAATATGTTTGATATGCACAATATTATTAGGATTAAAATAATGATTCAGGATTCAGTATTTGGCCTGAGATTGTTGTACTTGTTCAGCAAAAAAACAAAAACAAAAAAAAATTATTAACTGTGGTGGTAGAGGAGACTTAAATCTGTTCTTCCTTGTTCAGTTTTGTTAATTATAATACTCACTTACTACCTGTCTATAATGTTTTCCTTAGTAGTCATTATATAATTATCTTATGGTGAAAGGTAATATGATAAGAAAAATATAGGTAAGAATTTTTCAAGACAACTATCTGAACATTTCTCTCTCTCATGGACAACCTAGTTAGACTTTTTTTTACAGCCAAACACAAGAGGTCTGAATTTCCTTTGACTTTGATTTCAGTAGAGTTACTCTTGATTTATCCAGCAAGTACAGACAACCTCAAGTGAAAAGCCTATTTTCATGAGTTTTCCAGACCCACTTCTTGGAATCAAAGCATCTTGCTAATTCAAATTAGATTGAGATATATTCATCTGAGCTAAAACAGCCTGCTGCAGTCATAGTTATCACTGGTTAGAAATCCAGTGCATTTCTGTAAACTCTTGTTTAACTCTAATTGCTAACACAATTGCATCTGAAGAAGATTTCATCACTCTGCTTAATTCAGTGGCATTGCTCTATTTCCTCTGTTTCTGTGACCATCACTGAAGCTGAACTGGATTCTGCAGAACTTAAACCAAACTGAACATCCGGTAGGCCACCTGGTATGTGAAACACCTTAAAGGACTTGAGAAACAGTTTGGTGACCACATAACAAACCACCGGTTATATAGAGTTTCAGTCAGACACACGTGCAGAGCCAGCAAGAAGGAGGGAGGGGAGGAAATGATGACCTTGCATTTTTAAAAGTCACCCACATAGACAGGTGAGTTATCTCTATAAGTTCATTTTTAAAAATTAACCACCATGCAGCCTAGCTGTAAACCCTCAAGCTGAAAAGATCGAATAACATTATACAGGCCTCAAGGCCAAAATGGATTCCCATGAGCCAGAAGGGGCCAGAGGGAGTTCTGTAGGACATAAGCCACGCAGATCAAGATAAAACCTGCATGATGATGCTTATATTCTTCATGGGCTGAACCACTGTACACAAGAAGGGTGTGTCTACACTGCCACCCTAGTTCGAACTAGGGTGGCTAATATAGGCATTTGAACTTGCAAATGAAGCCCTCCTTGCAGGAGGAATAATGGTAGTTCAAATTAGGAGCTTTAATTCAAACTACCTAGTCTGTGCCACGTGTAGCCACGGGCAGGTAGTTTGAACTATGGGGCATTTAAAAATGGCAGCGCCCGGGAACATGCAAATGAAGCCCGGGATATTTAAATCCCGGGCTTCATTTGCAAGTTGAAATGCCTACATTAGCCACCCTAGTTTGAACTAGGGTGGCAGTGTACACATACCCAAAGAGAGCAGCTGTATCATTATGCTCCACTGCATAAAAATTAAGACTGGCTCTTAAGTTCCTACTATGTTATTGGTGCAGGCCATCAGTTGGCCATAAATTGAAGACCTTGATTTTAGATTGCCACTGCATACCAATTTGTTCAAAACAAATAGCTTCTGAGAGAAGAGCTTAGTATTAAATGTGTAGCTCATTTAATATTACTATATATTTTAGGAAGTGAACTGCTATAAGATGAAAAAAAGTAGTACTAGGGGGAAAAGATGGGGATTGTTTTTCCTGTTCTCTATCTCCTGTTAATCTATGGAGGCAACCAAGAATCATACTGTGAACTATAGAGTGGTTGTGCAGTAAAATAAAAATTGAACTTGAATTCTTATAATGCCAGAGACGAAATATATTATTCTGTTGATTTCTACATCTTCGCTAGTTGTAATGAACAGTGGGCAGTCTGGGCCCACTCACCAAACAAAGAAGATGGCTCGTATGATGAAGTGAGTCTTTCAAGAGAGAGGAAAATCAGATATGAGATTTCTGATTATCCAGCTCCATACTGCATTGATGCTTTTCTGGTTTACTAAATTTTGTTTACAACTCTCCTGCATGTGCTATCTATACACCCTGTGCAATCAAGACCTGTAATCTGCCTTAATTTTGTTTGGTAACTGATCAGTCATTTAATTCCTATCAAGTTTGCAAACATTCTCTCTCTCATTAAGTTTTGAGCTCCATTCAAAATAATTAATAAACATATTTAGGGATGGTCAAAACCCCAAGATGTCAGAATGGAAAATAGGGGTGGGGAGTATTTTCTTTAAAAACAAAATCAACTTTTGAGAAATTTGCACCAGCTCTAATAACTGCAATTGAAAACTTGGCTCAGTAGCAAATCCCTGCAACAGTGGAACTCAAGAGTGTTTCAGTAGCCTAATTTAAAAGTTCAGAATGGAAATTGAGCAAAGTGTACTACCCTCAGAATAGATGACTTTGGACTGAAAGCAACCTTCTTTCTTAGAGCTATCTATTGCAAACATAGATGGCACCTTCTTTAAGGATAGTGATAAACATGCTTTTATATGAGAATGTTTTCCTAAGGAGGCCAAAAATGTCCTAAGATCTATTTTTATCAACAACCCAATATGTAAATCATCAGAACTCTGTAGAAGTGAATCAAGTACTGATGACACTTTACACCAGCAGAGGATTTGGCCCAGCTTTTCAAAGCCTATTCTTTTTCATGCGTATAGTTTACCATATCTGGCCCTACATGTTTTAAGTTTGTCAGCTCCAGCAGTTGGAAACTGAGTACCTTCTTATGATAGACTGCTGGTTTTTTAATGTCTCTTCTTGCCATTTCCACTTCCTTGATTCCTGCCTTTAGCACACATCAGCAGCATATGTCTGCCATGGAAGGAACTGCTTCTTTACTGTAAAGAAAGTGCTCATCAGAATAGTACGCAAAAAGGTTGATTTCTGAGCTGCTAACCTGTGTCTTCTGAAACTTTATGCTCTATTTATTTTGTCTTCTCTCTTGGGTGCATCTAGACTACATGCTTCTTTTGAAAGAAGCTTTTTCGAAAGAATCTTTCAAAAAAGCCTCTTTTAAAGAGGTCATCTAGGCAGCCACAACTTTTTCGAAAAAGCGATCTGGGTGCTCTCTTTCGAAAAAGCCCTGTTTGTGGTCAAGAACGCCATTTTTTTTGAAGAACTCCTTCGAAAAAAAGGTGTTCTTCCTCGTAAAATGAGGTTTACCGCTGTCAAAAAAAATCACTGTTCTTTTGATTTAATTTTGAAAGATTGCAGCAGCAGTATAGATGCAGGTGACGTTTTTTTGAAAAAAGGCCACCTTTTTTGAAAAAACCCTGTAGTCTAGACATAGCCTATGTGACTAGAGAAGATGTATCTCATTCTGAGGTTTTAAAGCTAACTGGCAGAGAGAGACAGTCTGAGTTTCTTCTGCTCCAAAGTTCTTTTTACTCCATTATTTTATTTTTTTATTTTATTTTATTTTATTTTTAATATTTAAGTCAAGGCTGTGCTGTACTGAGAACAAAAACAAGACAAAACAATAACAAAAACAACAACCTGACATGTTTGTTTTAAATTCTGATTTGTTTTTCAAGAAAGTTCCAACCTAAGAGGAAGATATCTCATGTTTTATCAAAATTCCTACTGTTTTGCAGATGTACTGAGTCATCATAAGAAAAGTTATTACAGCTAACATGTTCTAGTCCTGGATATCATGTCCTGAATATTGAAAACACCACCAGGGCCAGCCTTAGGCCAATTAGCCCGATTCCCCCGAATGGGGCCCCGCGCCTAAAGGGGCCTGCGCCCTGGACCCAGAAATGTGCTGGGCACCATGGGCGGCAAGTTAATATTCAGAGCCAGAGGCCCAGCTCCAGCAATATGTGGAGCTGGGTCTCTCCCCTCGGCTCTGCCTGGAACGGGCCCCGGCCCTCAGGTGCTGGCCCCCCCTACGTTCTCCCACCCCATCCCCAGAGCATCCCTCTCGGTCCTGGACTGTCCCCGCTGTGCACGGCTTTAGTGTGGCTCCCTTCACCTGCTGCTGCTGCCATGCGCAGCATTTGCAGGTGAGCGGCGAGATGCCCGGGTGTGACATGACGTCATGGCCCAGGACTTTAAAACTCTTCGGCACTATGTTGCGTCAAGCGGCCTAGTTCCAGGTTTGGAGTCTGGGGCCCAAGGGCAGACTCCAGCCCCGCAAAGTGGAAGGCAGAAGATAGGGGAGGGGTGGGAGAGGAAGGGGCTTGTGCAGATGGGGAGGGAGAAGAAAGAGGAAGGCACCAAGAGACAAGTGTGGAGGAGAAACAAATGTCAGGGGGCCAAGTGCAGACAATGAGGAAAAGGGAAGGAGGGGAGGTGTCAGTGGGAGGAGAGACAGGGTGATGCCGGGAGAGGAGAGAGTAAGGGCACTGGGGGCTAGAGGGGGGAGGAGGAGGTGCTAGGAGAAGGCTAGAAAGAAAGGGTGGGCATGAGGAAGGCGGGGATGGAGCAAGTCATGTGTGAGGGCACAGGGGCATGAGGGGAACGGGGGCAGAGGGTGGTGAGGGGATGGGCATCAGGGAAAAAGAGAGCAAAGGGGGCAGGGGCAGTGAGAGAAGGGGGAGGTACCAGGAGGGCGCAGGTGCCAGGGGTGAAGCAGAAGGGCAGACATCTGCAGAGGAGGGACCAGCACCAGAGGAAAGAGGCAGGGCAGGTGTGTAGAGGGAGGTGTTAGAAGAGGGGATAAGGATGGGTAGCTCACATGATCAGAGTGGGGCTACTGGAGGAGTTGGCCCAGGGGGGAGATAAGGGCTGGTGGAGGGGGCAGGTTGCAGGAGGGCTGAGGGCAGTGAGATGGGCAGGAGTCAGGACAGCAGAGGAGGGTGAGGAGTTGGGGGGCAGCAGGCACCAGGGGTGCTGATGGAGCAAGGGGAGGAGACATGGCAGCAGAGAGACAAGGTAAAGGTTTATAAAATATTTATTAATAACTTGGGTGCCACAGTGGCACATCCAAACCAGCCACATGAACTCAGTACAGGTGAACAACACAAAATCCATTCTGCTCATGGGAGGAAACTCTTGGGCTATGTCTACACTAAGCTGTGCTTTTGCACAAGAGCATCCATGGCAGAGTTGACGCTCTCTTGAGCAAGAAAGCTCCAATGGCCATTTTAACCATAGGGGTTTCTTGCACAAGAAATCCCTTCTGAGCATCCACACTGCCCTCTTGTGCAAGAGAACTTACACCTGTTAGAAAAGAGCATTGCTCTTGTGCAAGACACTCTCTCTTACCACGCCATACTGTAAATTTCCTTGCACAAGAGCAGGCGGGTAGTGTGGCTGCTGTGTGGGTTCTTGTGCAAGAATGGCTGTACTTGCCAAGAAGCCACGAGTGTAGACATAGCCTTAGAGGGAACACTTCCCCCAGCCTCTCTGTCCCCGAGTTAATGTCACACACATTCAGTTAATGCAATTGCAGGATAGTTGCATGAGGGGGGGTTGGTGGGGGCCAAACTAATCCCTGTTGGTAGGAGGATGGTGGGAAAAGTCCTTTGAGAAGGGTGACTTGACACCTTTTGCTTTTGGTCATATGTCCATCTTGCCCCAAGTGTGTTACCTCCAGAGGCTTGGTTAACGGGGATCAGGGGGTGTGGCTAATGGGGGTTGGGGCGTGGTTACTGTGGGTCGGAGGTGTGGCTAATGGGGTCAGGGAGTGGTTAATGGGGATGAGGTGGTGTGGCTAATGGGGGTTGGGGCGTAGTTAACAGGGGTCAGGGGTGTGGCTAATGGAGCACCACCAAAAAATTATACAAATCTGCCGCCTCTGGCCAGCCCTGGAGGAGAAGTGTGTTGGCTGCATGTGTAACAGGAGATGTGAGTTTAGCGCAGGGTTTTCCTGTGCTGCGGGAGTGTGTGTGTGTGTGTGTTGGCGGGGGATTTTTTGTGGGGGGGGGGTTTTCCAATGAAAATTGCTGCGGGGCCCCGTTTGAATTGGGCCCTGCACTTCCTAAAGCTGGCCCTGAACACCACCCATTGAAAAATCATGAGTCCAGGACCCTCATAATCATGAGATTGTTCAAAAATGGTTATTTTATTTTCCTCTGGTTTTGGAGCCCATAGAGCTCAGACGGGTCATGTTTACAAGCTTTTATTCTCAACAATAAGGACTAGAAATTTTTTATTTCAAAATGAAAACTGAGATTCTTGTGTTAATCACTTGATTCCACGAGCTGAGGCTTTAGCACAAAGAGCAAACAACTCATGATAAAAATCACAAAAGTTGTCACCACTGTGCTCCAGATTAAAGGAAATCTTTCATAATTCTCACAAGACTCAGTAATAAATTTAAAGGCTGCACATGTACAGGATACATTCTGGATGACCACTTGTCCACTAGAAACCAAATAGTCTTTCTTTGTAACACAACTCTTTCAACTCCCACATACATGAAGAAAGTATTAGAAGTATTCTAGGACCTACTTCAGATAAGCTCCATCGTTTATTGTGGAGACTGAGCCTCAGCCTCAGCCTCAGCTCAGCTGTCTCTTCTGGTGTCACCAGATGTGGCCCTTCTGAATCGATGTGCCATTGCTGCTGCTTTCTTTGTTTCACTCTGGGAGAGAATTGTGATGTTAGTTTATCTTGAACCACAGAGAAGTACAATTTTCTTTAAAGAGGTGTGGCCAACTTGCAACTAATCAAAGACTTGATCAGACATTTTTCCTGGCTCCCTATTGGTCAGAGTCCAAGTCTGGGTCCTTGACATTTGCCTTCCTTCCACTTCTCACCTTCTACACTGTTCAAATCTACTGGTGATAACAATGGAAAGAGCACTTATGTAACTGGGGTGTAGTGGCTGCAAGCATTTTAACCACTGTGTCATGTTGAGCTGCTTGAACATGATTTGATGAAATGTGGTATGAACCCACTACCATGTCTGCGTGAATGTATCAATTCTGTCAGCACTGGCACAGCTACCTTAGTAGAGGTGTAACTATGGAAGGGTTCCCTGGCTTCCTGAAAGCCAGTGTAGATGCTGTCTTTTATGGACATAAAATAAATTATTATAATATATTGAAGTAACCACATCTCAATCCTGGTAGATACCAAAGGTATATTGTTATTTTTTAATGTCGCTATAATAAATTGCTTTTTTTCTGTCCATTCAGACAAGAGGTGACCATTTTATAACATATTTGGGTCATAACCATGTTTAAACATTTGGGAATGGATTGTTGGGGTTTTTTTGGCCCTGGCCTTCTCTATTTATTGGAACAGTCAGTGAGTTATGAAAACTACACTTATTCTCAAAACGCTTATGTCTTAGTACCAAAAGGAAATTCAAGGAGGATACTCATGATGGAAAAATAACATGGGGTCAATGACACAAGAAAAGGACTCTTCAGGTGATGATGAACCGGCAGGAAATGAACAAAAATGACATGAAGAAATAGTGGATCTCACCTAAGACCAAATTATCAGCCATTCTCTTCTACTTCAACCAAGGACCCAAGATCAGCATCCTAAATACCTATGGATTCAGAATGGATCCCTGTTAAAGAAACAAGGCTAACTTAGCCCCCTGAAATAAACAGTGCTGGGGAAAAAAATCTGAATAGGCAGGTGGTGGGTTCAGTACACATGCTGGTATTGGAGTAAAAAAATACTCAAGAAAAAAAAATCAACCTGAGAAAAACTCACAACAATATGGAAAATTTTCACTGCACATGGCACCTCACCTTCAACGTAACTTTATAGTATATATAGTGTACATTATTTACATCTGATCATTTAGTTTACTAAAACAAAAAAGCACCATCTGCCCAACCGCACTTTCCTTCCAGGAAATTGAAATGAGAGCGGATGTTGTCTTTTACTGCTTATCTTTGTTCTTTTTCATGTTTAACTCTTCGTACAGTATAGGTATGCACAAAAAGAAAAGTGAGGCATACATTTGTTAGCAATTATTTCTCAATGTATTCATCAAAAACTATACCTGAAAAAGGGCATCTGTGCATTACTATCTAAGTAGGGTTGGAGAGGACCTGATTGTCTATGTTGGTCGACTGCTGTTTCAGACCTATGTAATAAGACACATAGTTAACTGCAGAGTACTGTGGTCACTTTTGTCAAGGACATCTCGCTCCACAGAATGAAAGTCTTGCTCTTCCTTCAGTGTATTTGGCAGCACAGA